CGCAGCGGCGGCACCATGTCCCGCTTTGCGAGCATTGTCCTCATCATCTGCGAGAAGCAGATCTTGTTGCTCGCCAGCGTCCCTTTGTGCAGCTGCGGGGGGCTGCGCATGGGAAGCAGGTGCCTCAAGCTCGCTGTCCACAGCATGTGTCCACAGCAGCATCAGCCAGATGATTTGGCTGGGCCGCTTGCCCGCGAGCGCATAGCGGTTGACGCGCTGCTGCCCCTGCTTGTGCCCCGCCTGTCCCTGCAGATGCTCACCGGGACGCTCGCGAGCAACAAGATCTGCTTCTCGCAGATGATGAGGACAATGCTCGCCAAGCGGGACATGCTGCCGCCGCTGCCGGCCTCCTGTCCGCGCGAGCTGCAAGCCCTGGTCAGCGCTTGCCTCGGCCCTGACCCTGTCGCTCGACCCAGCTTCCCTGCCATCCTGGCGCAGCTGGAGGCCTTGCAGGCGGGCCTGGTGGCTGCGCAGTAATGGCCCCAGCGTGACACCTGCAGCACCGCCTATTCTGCTTCTTGCCCCAACACCTTCCCTCACACTCTGCCTCCCACATAAGAGCCCTCCATGAACCCCTCCTGCCTGAATCCAATCAGAAGCTACCACTCTCCATGCGCCATGCGGCTGTTTTTCTCTTCCGCCATGCCTGGCCTCGTGCACGTGTACCTCCCCCCTGCTGTCGCCCATCATTCTTGTGACCGCCAGCGGCTCGATTGCCTCGCCCCGTAGCGGCAGCCTGTTCCTCTTCACCGTTTCTATCTTGTTTTATCTCTTGATTTCCAATCCCCTTCCTCCGATAACGCGGTGCAGCGCTGCTTCCTAGCAGCTCTACAGCTGCCGCAGCAACTCAATTTTGTTTCATGCATTCTCTCTCCTGGTCCAACAATACTTCTTCCAGTTCATTTCAATACTGTCGGCGTTTTTCACTAGGCATCTGGTGCAGACCGACTCCTCCATGAGACACCACCATTTCTTGGCTCAAAATTCTGTACCTGTTCCTGGCTGGTTGATCTCAAAATTCAATTACAATCAAGTAAGCTGCGACCAAGTGAAATCTCATCAAATCAAATAGCAGTTCACATAGGGCCTTTTTGCAACTTTCCGCATCCGGAAATCACAAAACACCGGCGCGTCATTTGTTCGGCGGTCTTGGCAAAATCGGAGGAAAACGCTCAGAAGGATGGCAAGGCAGGAGGAGAGCCGGTGGAATGGAGGGGATATGACAACGCGCTAATGCAGCACGCTGCTATCCAGCTCGCTGGTTAGCCCCAGGCGCAGACCTACGCCTTCGGTGGCGGCTGCGCGCCCACCCACCATTCCACAAACTCTCCTGCAGGAAAAACAGAACCGCCGGCTCATGGGAAGCGTGTCTGGCAGCCCATGCCCGTACCCGCCGCATGCACAGACAGCCATGCCGCTCTTTGCGCGGTTGCCTTGCGGGCACGGCTGCCCCATGCCTTCCACGACGCAAACCACCATGACCACAACCGCATGTATCCTCACACCGGCATCGCCCACGGAGGCGGTCGCTCACCCAGCTGGATGCTTCCATCTTTATTCGTGTCCAGAATCGCCAGAGCGGCCTTCACTTCGTCCCCGCTCAGCTCCGTGTAGCGAGCGCTGCACGGCCCGGGATTGAGGAAGCCAGTGGGCAGGGCAGGGCAGGAGCAGCTCGAGGCCAGCGGCACGCCATCCCGAACAGCAGCTCACCACCACGGGGGGAAGCCCAACAGCGCCTCACCACAAGCACCGAGCCGTGCTCAAACTGCTGCCCCTGCCGTGCCCGTCCAAGCAAGCCAAGCCAAGCCAAGCCAAGCCAAGCCAAGCTGAGCTGAGCCAAGCCAAGCCAAGCACGGCTCACCACAGGCGCTGGAACTCATCCAGCGACAGCACGCCGTTGTCGTCGGCGTCAAAGGCTGAGAAGACGGTGGCGATGTCGGCGGCCTGGGAATCAGTGATGCCGTACTTGGAGGCCTCGAAGCCATACAACCGCTGCAGGGCAGGGCGGGAGGAGGCAGAGGGGTTGCGGGTGAGGGTATGGCAGGAACGGGCTGTGCGGGGAGGAGCGTGGCGGGCCAGGCATGGCCCCCGAACACCCGTTGCGGGCGGCGCCGCCCGTGCCAGACCATATTGCAAGGCGGCCGGCGCTGGAGCTCGGAACGCGGGCTGCCATGCACCCCACCCGCACCTGCGCCTTCTCCAGGGTCAGGTAGGCGGCCAGGTCTTTGAGCATGGCATCGGAGCTGGCGCCGCCGCCCTGCTGCTGCTCCTGCACGCACGACAGCGGCGCACGCGGGCACACCAGCCGCTCAGGCCAGGCCCTTGCCAGCCCCAGGCGGCCACTCGCGGCCCAGGCGTCCCTGCCAAACACCTCTTCCGACCGCACGCCCCCAGCGCGACACACCCGCAGCCCCCAGCGCGACACACCCGCAGCGCCACACACCACACCAGGCGCCAAAGGCCCCACCTTGATCAGGCCCGCCATCTTGTTGAGCGCGCCCAGAACCTTGGCTGTGTTTATGGCGTCGGCGGCCTTGTCCAGGGTAGCCAGGCCGGTGGGGCTGGGCCCTGCCAGGTCCTTGACCGCTGTGAGGAAGGCGGCTGCGGTAAGACACCACAGTCGGTGGCCGGGTCAGCAAAATGGATGGGTGCCGGGTGGGCAAGCAGACAGGTGTAGCCTCAAGCAAAATGTGGAAAGGAACTCCCCAGGGATGTGCCGCATCGTTGAGGGCCGGGCGAGCCCCGGGCCCAGCCGCGGGGCCCACACCATTGGTGCTGCCCCCCGCTCACCGCTGTTCACGTTGAACTGCTGGATGGCAGTGAGCACCATACCCAGCCTGATGAGGTCCAGGAAGGCTGCAGGCAGGCAGGCAGGCGCCGCAGGCAGGGCGGCGGGCCAGCCCGTCGGTACAGCCAGCGGGTGGCGCATGGGACACAGCGGCCAGGCAAGGCAACACAGTGCACACACACACACCACACACACATACACACGGCCTGGAGATTATACCCTCTTGTTTGCGAGCCGGCCGGCCAGCGCCGCCCACCTCCGATGAAGTAGTATCCAGACAGGAAGTAGGCGATCGCCTGGAGCGCCACCGCGCCAAAGCCGTACTGCGGAACCGCCTCCCCCAGGAAGTTGCCCCCCACAAAGGCGCCGTAGGCGGCCCCCACGTCCAGGAACACCTGGATGAGCGCCAGCCCCGAGAACTTGGCGCCCTGCTTGACCATGACCTGTGGGGATGGAGAGGGGGAGCGGGGGAGAGGGAGGGAGAGTGTGTGGGTGGGTGGGTGGCCCGGCTCTGCTCTCAGTGGCCTATCAGGGCCGATCGGGGCATGTGTCGCAAGTTCCTTTGCGTGTATTCAGGCTATACACCCAAGAGAAAAAGCATCATGGCGAGGTGACTGTGACACAGGTACAGGGTGGGTGGGTGGCAGGGGCCGGTGGCACGGCGAGGCAGCCGACAGCGGGCATGAGCGGGGGCATGGCGGGGGCTTTGCGCGAGGCGCAGCCAGCCAGCCAGCCAGCCAGCCACCCGCCCAGCCACCCACCTTGCGCAGCTCCTCCGGTGTGAGCTCCCCGCCTGCGCTGCCCACCGTCTCCTGCCACGCCTGGAGCACCTGCGCGGAGCAGGCGGCGGGGAAGGGCCCGGAGAGGTGTGTGCGGGGTGGCGGCGGCCGGTGCCGCTCCCCTGCCAGCCAGCCACAGCACCCCACCTTCTGCGCTCGCTCCTTGTCCAGCCCGCTCTGCTTGAGCGACTCCTCGAACGCCTGGATCTTCTTCTTCTCCTCCTCCTCTGGCGCCTGCAGCGGCGAGGGTGCGCGGGGCCGGCGGCGGCGGCAGACCGTCGGTGCCACAAAGATGAGCGCCCACACCGCGTGCTGCGGGACTTCCTCACTCACACTCACCTTTGTGGCACGGACGATCAGGGGGCGCCTGGTGGCGCGCAGCAGAGGCCTGGGAGCCAGGGCACAGCAGCGGCGCTGTGGCCTGGATGGACTGCTAATGGTGAGAGAAATCATCCTGGTGGTGCCGACGACTGGTGAAACGATTGGCCAGGAGGTCTTCTTGTCGGCTGCAAAATGGAACTGTCTGGGCGGCAGGGGTTCTGGACCAGAAGACAAGACGAGCTAATACGCGTCGGTGCAGTTCACTGGATCGCTCAGCACCTCTTTGCCGCTGTTGCTGGTTCCCCCATCACCCCGCGCTGAGGCCGCTGCCGCCGGCGACCGCCGCTGCCGCAGGCGCCTACTTCCCCGCCGCCGCAGTGGCTGCCCCCTGCCCCGCCGCTCCCCCCTCGTTCAGTTGCGCAAACGTCGCTGTTCAACCCCACAGGGCGCTTCTGCGAGCTCGGTTAATCCCTGTTGTGCCGCCTTTCGCGCCGTGTCGGCATCTCTGTGCACTCAGCGCATAGCGGCCTTGGGAAAATACTTTCCCAAGGCTATTGCAATCATTTTGTCAGCAGGAATACAATGTAGACCTCATACTGCACGCAGGCCTGTCTGTCACTTGGGGTAACCCCGTCAAAACCAGTCAAATGCTGCGGCGAGCCTCAGCACGCTGCCTGCCGTGGCAGCGCGCTGGCCGCCACCCACGACAGGCAGCTCAGGAGATAGAGCTCCATCCACGCGCAGCCCCCATCCTCGAGAGCCTCTGACACATGGCCCATCAAGGCTGGCAGGCTCGCCTCCCCTACATCGGCCCCAGGCGTGGAATGCGGCTCGGCTGCAGCCTGGCTGAGTTGGGTCCCCGCAACCGCCGCCTCCAGCTGCCGCCGCGTGAGGTGCGCGAGTGGCGGCGGCCGCCGGCGGGGCGGCACGCCCGCCTGCGCCTGCGCCAGCCGGTGTCGTGCCGCAAACCGGGCCCGCGCCTGGCGCTCGAGGCGGTGCACCAGCAGCAGCGGGGCGATGAAGCCGAGGGTCGCGCCCAGCCAGGAGTCTAGTGCCCGGCACTGCTGCGCAGGGTCCGGCGGTATGCTGGCAGCAGCCCGGATGGTGGGGCTCACTGCGGCGGAGCTGCAGCCAGGGGAACACGGCGGTGGCGCCGGTAAGCCAGGCGGGGGCGGCATAGACCAGCGCAGGCTGCTCACAGAGGCCGCCTGTGTCTGCCGCTGCACCGGGAGGCTTCCGGGAGCCTGCTAGGCGCACCCCCCCTTCCACCCGGGCGGCTCCTGGCACGAGCATGTCGCCTGGCGTGGCCAGGCAGGCGGCGGGGCAGGCGCTGCTCCTTCAGCCGCTGCCAGCTGGCGCCTGCTGCCGCTGCCAGCTGGCACCTGCTGCCACTCACTGTACGATGCTGAGCGTGCCGTATAGGTCTGCCAGCGGCGCCTCTACGCCCGCCGCCGCCAGCAGCCGGCAGCAGGGGCTCCTACCCACAAGCAGCTACACAACAGTTGGCGGTTGGGGCGGTGTGTGTTTGCCAGCGCGTGTGTGGTGGGGACTGGGCAGCTTGGCAGCGCCGCGCTGAGCTGCTGCACCCCGCAGCCCCCGCAGCTGGCAACGTGCAGCATCCGTGCCGCTCAGGCAGCGAGGTGGGCGGGCGGGCCCTCACCGGCAGCAGGATGAGGCCCGGCAGCACCAGGCAGGTGGAGACCAGCTGCAGGCGGCCCCACAGGATGTACAGGCTCATCCACACTGTGTGGCTGGACAGCAGGAACAGTCCCAGCAGGCGGGAGGGGCTGCCGCCGTGGCGCTCAAACATGTTGAGCGGCCCGTACGTCGCTGCAAGCGGGGCAAGGCAGCCGGGGGCGGCTGCACTGTCAGGCCCTGCGGCTTTCTGGCGCTGGGGACTGGCACAGCCGGCAGAGCGGCGAGGGCGCTAAGTTGGAGGTAGGAGGCTGGCCCTGCAACGGGCTGGGCAGGCCCGGGCATGCAACTCACAGAAGGCTCGGACGAGGAAAGCGAGGTGCAGCGCCGCGCCGGAGGCCAGCAGCTCGCGGCGTGCCACGTAGGCTCGCTGGCGGCGGCAGCACATGGCTGCCAGGCCCGCCGCCAGCGCCACGTGCGTGCTTCCCAGCAAGGTCAGGCCTGCGTGCGCGCAAGGGAGGGCATGCCAGTGGCGCGCATCGGGCATGCACGGCTATGGGGCATACTGAGCGGAAGCTGGGAGGTGTGCTGCATGAGCTCAGTGGAGTGGGATGCACATGCGGGCCGGACAGCTACCCAGCCATGCGGGCATTGGGGCGCCACCGCACACAAGCTGCGTCGGGAGCAGCTGGAAGCCCATGCCGCCAGCCGCGCGCGGTGGCGGGCACTCACCCCAGCTCCCCTCTGCCGCAAGCTTGGCGCACAGGTAGACGGTGAGAAGCAGGGCGCTCAGCAGGTGACCCACACCGTCGCAGTGGACCGAGATGGCGTTGGATTCTCTGCAGCAGCTGTGTGTGTGTGGTGTGAGGACTGAGTCGCAGGGGCGAGAGCCCTGCAGGCGGCCGCGCCCTTACCGCCGGTAGGGGTCACCCCGCCACTGCTCCATGCGCTGCCCCATGCGCTCGACCAGCGCCTCCCAGCCCCTTCTGCAGGTCTTCCTGGCCGACAGCAAGTGCGTGGACGCCCGGAAAAGCAGCCTGGTGGGGACCATGAGCTGGTGCACGACGTGGGGCAGCCCGTTCAAGTTGATCGCCCTTTTCCTCCACGGAAACACATGCTGCAGAATGTATGTGAAGCAGGAGAGTGCGTGCCAGAAGTGCGTACGGGGGGACTTTGAGCGACCCGAGGGTGCCGCAGCCTTGAGTGCAGGCTGGCAGGGGACTCGTGCCTGGACCAAGAGAGAGTAAATTATTGGGTAATGCGCCTTCACGATACGATACCTTCGATTTTGCTGACATCTCCTCTGCTGACATGTTGCCCCCTACGAGCAGTAAACTGCGAGACTAGGGGGATGGATGCATGCATGGCCGGATGGATGCATGCTTGGGGAATTGTACATGGCTGGCGGGCGCTGCCCTGCGCCGCGCCCAGCACTGCTAGCATGCATGCGGTCGTCGAGCTGAGCTGGTGCTCGCCAAACACCACACGGGGCATGCCTGGAGAGGCTGAGAGAGCAGTGCGCAGTGCATGCAACCTAACCTGGCGGGCAAGCTCCTAGCCAGGCGGGGCGCTGCTGCTCCAATGCGGCATTCCCTGCTCGTCAACGCGGGCGCCGCCACTCCTTCCAGGATGCCTCCTGAGGGGCCCTCCCCGCTCACCCCCTACCCCATCCCACCTGTCCTGGAAATTTACCTGTCGGCGCCGCAAAAGTACCGGCAGTCGGCCGCTGGCGAGGCAGAAGCGGCGCAATGAATCGGCGAGCGGGCTTGACACGCCGGCTCGACGCTGCGGCACCCACAGCCGGGGGCAGATGCGTCCGCTGGGCATCAACGGCACGCCCGAGAAGATGGAGTCGATGAAATTTAAGATGGGAACTGGGGCTGACGCCACATGCCGGATGCAGGGCAGCAAAGTGATGCACAGCACATGAAATTCCGCTGGAACAAAGCGGCGCCATCCGCCGCCGCCCGAGTGTTGCCGCCAGCTGCCCAGCTGCGCAGCCGGCCTGGCGGGACGCTTCACGAGGGCCGGCGCCCATTGGTAAAGCTCCATGCTTGCTCAGACGGTTGTCAAGAGGCCAAACCCATCGCATGCCCTCCCGGATTGCCAGCTGGGCCTGTGCCATCAATGATGCCGGGCATCTGAATGCCGCCGCGCGGCCCTCACTCGCTGCGTCCCTTTCTCAGATCACTTAGGCCGGTGAGGTTAGACCCTACACCGCAGGCGTAGGACAAATGGCCGCTGGTGCCCCACACCTCGCGCTTCTCCTAGCCGCCACGCTGCTGCTGGCAGGCGGTAAGCACTGGGGCGATGAATGGGCGCGTGGCATGGGGCCGCCGGGCGCGTGCAAAGGCCGCGTGCCGCAACCCGGGACCCATGCATGGGTGGTGGTGGGGGCGGCGGCGGCGCGCTTAGGGTCACTTTGCCCTCGTCGCTCATGCCCGCCATCTCAGCCGCACCCCGCGGAAGCTATGCCCGGGGGTGCTTAAGGGCCGTATCTGGGCCTGTTGGGCCCCTCGTGTCCTCTGTCCTGGAGGCTCCAGCGAGCCAAATTCCACCCTCTCCGCCCAGCTTCCTCGGGCCCGCCGCTGGCTTCCCAAGCCTGCCGCCGACCCGGATTCCTGCCGCCTGTCCCCCTTCCCGCCCGCAGGCGCGGCGGCCTACGGCTCCTGCTCGGAGGCTTACTGCGTGTCCTGCCCCACCAGCCCCAACGTCTGCAAGGAGTGCAAGGGGCAGCCGGTGGCCAGCTGGGCGGAGCCGCTAGGCGTGTATGCCGCCCCCGATGGCAAGTGCCGGCTGTGCGTTGACCGCGACCAGCACTGCACCGCCTGCAACGGGCGCACGGGTGCCTGCACCTTCTGCGGCCCCAACTACGGCGTGGGGCGGAGAGGGCGCTGCGAGGCGTGTGCCTCGCCGCAGTGCGCGTCGTGCGGCCCTGACGCGCGCAAGTGCCTGTGGTGCCGCACCGGGTACGGCGTGGACGTGCCGACCGGCAAATGCGTGCCGGTGAGTTGAGCCCCGGTCCCGCGCTCTGGCTCTCCTGCTTGTGGCCCACCCCCGGAGGTCTGCCTTGCACCCTGTGCCGAGCCTCCCTCATGCCATCCACGTGCGCCCGTCCCCATTCTGCTCCTGCTCCTCCTGCAGTGCAAGGACCCCGGCTGCGAGCCCAGCGCCTGCGGCATCGATGCCTCCAAGTGCATCCAGTGCAAGGCGGGCTGGCAGCTGAAGAGCGGCAGCGCCGTCGCAGGCAACTGCGTGCTGCAGACGGCAAAGCGCGGGCGCAAGAACCTGCTGTGAGGGGGAGGACAGGCTTGCTAGGTAGGCCTGTGGGCGGGGGGTGGGTGGGTTTGGTGCTGGTAGTGGTGCTGGGTGGGGAGTTGTGTAAAGCAGCGCATCAGTGCATGCGCACTGGCGCTGCGTGCACGGGGCGTGCTGGGGCCGGGCATGAGCTGCCCCACTGACAAGGGCTGCTTGCCTGCTGCTGAATGGCAGTGCAGGAAGACAGTGCAATGCCAATGCTAGACAGGAGACATGACAACGGACGGCTGCCACCCAGCCAGCCCTGCCCCTGCCCTTAAATTCAGTAGAAAGCAGCACAGGAAACACAGTTGTTTTGACCCAACAGCCACCCTAATGCCTCCTCAAATCAGTTTCGGCCATTCTTTGCTCCCCAGCGCCACGCCAGCTCTGATCGCCCACCCTGGGCCTCTGACCTGCTGCTCTGCTCTCCGCAACGGTGCGGCCATTTTGTGATCTGCTTTACATCCTTCATTTTTGTGGGGACGCCCAATCGTTACGCTCTGCTTGCCTGCATGCTGTTGTTGCTTTTTTCCGCTGTGCCGCTGTTTAGCGCCCCCTTTCATCCCTGCCCTGCCTACCTGTGTGTGTGTACGACTTACAATCTTTGCGGTGCAGTTTACATTCATTTATGTGAGATCTATTGAGCAGATGGCTGTCGATTCCATACTGGTTGAATGGTGCTTGCCTGCCAGACACGCCTCCAGACAGAAGGAGGAGAGGGCGGCTCAGGGCAGAAGCACAGCAACTATGCTGCTGTCGCCATCCGCAGGGCCAGCTTCTGGCTTGCTGCTCTCTCCCCTGCCGGGGTCGCCCCTGCCGCCTCTGCCACCCCTGCCTCCTCGCCTGGGCTTCCCTCTGCCGCCTCCGCCGCGCTCGCCCCTGCCGCCGCCACCGCTGGCGGCGATGCCAGCAAGCGCTGCCGCCGCCGCCGCTGCCGCTGCTGCCGCCGCCGCTGTCCCGTCACCGCCCGGCAGCCCATCGTCCTTCTGCTGCTCCGAGTCCGGGCCCTGCTCACCCTCCTGCTGCTCCCGCTGCGGCAGCTGCTCCTCCCCCTGCTCCCCCGCGCCTCCGTCTGGCGGCTGCGAGAGCCCCAGCCTGCCCCGCCCCGCCGTCTGCTGCTCCTCATACGCCGCTCGCCGCGACTTGTACTCACCCCACTGCGCGTGCAGCTGGCGGCGCAGCTCCACCATCCGCTCATAGGCCGCCTTGCAGATGGCGCGGCACTCATCCCGCTCCCGCACAAGCTGCTCTGCGCCCGCCGCGCGCCGCGCCTCCTCCTGGCGCAGAGCCGCCAGCTGGGCCGCCATCGGCGCCTCCTTCTCCCTCATCTGCATTGGCAGGGATGCGGGCAGGCGGGCAGCAGATGTCCTGGGGAGGTGGCCACTCAGGTGGGTTGGACCTCCCTGGCTGGCTGAGCGCACAGCAGCACTCCGGGAGGACTGCAGCAGCCCAGCGCGCTGCCAAGGCTGAGCGTGCGGCAGCGGCCACCTCACCGCGGCAATGGAATCATCCAGCCGCTTGATGCTGCCCTGCACCTGGTCCTCCGTGCTGCTGTCGCCTGCCAGCTGGGAGGCCTTGCTCCTCAGCTGCTCAATGGTGCTGCATGGCCGCGGCGCGGGCGAGGTGTGTATGTGTGTGTGGCATGTGACTTCTGTGCTGTCTTGTACCCCAGGAGGAGTGAAGGAGTGGAAGGCTGCGGCCCGCAGCAGCAGCAGGCAGCTGAGCGGGGCATGCAGGCGCACCGGCGCGCCTACCCACACCAGCCGGTGACAGCAGCGCTGACCTCTCTGCGCTGCCGCCGCTGGCCTGGCCGCCGCCGCCCACCTGCGGCTCTTCTTCAGCGCTTCTATCTGGCCCCGCACCCTGCGCTCCTGCCCCTCCGCCACATCCACAAAGCCCTCCCCAGCCAGCCGGCTCTCCAGCTCGGCTATCTGCTGGTCGATGTCCGCAGCTGCAGGCAGGCAGGAGTGAAGGCAGGCAGGCAGGCAGGCAGGCAGGTGAGGCAGGCACACAGGTGGGCTCGAAGGCAGGAAGGCAGGCACGAGAACAGGCAGCCAGGCAGCCGGCAGGCAAGCAGCTGCCGCCCCACACGCACCGCTGGCAATCTTCAGGCCGCTCTTCATCTCGCGCAGCGAGGCCTTGGTGCGCTGGCGTGCTGTCGCGGCCTCCTCCAGCTGCGCCGCCAGCCACGCGCGCTGGCTCTGCACGCATGGCCGGCCAGGCGGCGGCGTGCATGGTGGGGAGCAGCTCGGAGCGGCGGGTGGCAGACAGGTGCGGGTGGGATGGCCTGGAGCAATGCCCGGCGGTGCTCTGCTTGCAGGCAAGGCGCGGTGCCTGCTGGCATGCCTAGCGTGGCAAGCCAGACAGGCGGCCTCCATGCGCAGGGCCTCACCGTCGCGGCCTGCAGCTGGCCGCGCAGCTGGGCGAGCCTGTCCTGCAGGGCCCGGGCCTCGGCGCCCCGCTCCTTGCCCTCCCCCTCGCCCCGCCTGCTGCTGCTCAGAGCCTCGACCAGCTCCTCGGCGCGCTGCTTGTGCTTGGCGACTGCGGGCAGGGACAGGGCAGGGCAGGGCAGGGCAGGGCAGGGGGTGGCTGGAAAAGCGCAGCTGCCGGGGCCGCCAGCTGGCCAGAAGCGCGCATCATCGGGCCATGCGTCGGCCGAGCCTGGCCTGCCCCTGGCTCACTTGTTTGCTGCAGGGCATTGATCATCGCCCGAGCCTCGGCATCGTCGGGACGCGGCGGCCGCACCAGCCTGGGGCCCCGGCCTCGCCCTGACGAGCCCCGCCCCCGCCCCCGCCCCCGCCCGCCGCGCCCGCCCCTCCCCGGGCCTGCCTCACTGCTGTCAGCAGCTGGCTGCTGTGCGTCCGATTCAGCCAGAGGCGGCGCCCCAGCTGCCGGCTGCCCTGCCTCCGCAGCAGACATGGCGGGCAGGCAGGTGGAGCACAGGCTGGCCTGCAGGCAAAGGGCATACATCCAGGCAGCAGGCATAACCCTCAGCAGGGGTGCTGCCTGTGAGGGGCACTGGGCAGACGGGATGTGCTTGCAGCAGCGCGTGGGCGTGAGCGGCGAACCGGCGGCGGCGGCAAGTGACCGCTGACCGTAGGCTGCGTCCCGCGGGGTGCGCGGATGGCTACTGCTCGCCCTGCTCGAGTGCTGGGGGGGCGTCTTGTGTCCTGCCGCTGCGACCCTACCTGCGACCGCGGCAGTCCAGGGCGCACACACTCGCGACTGACCCTCCACTGCGCTCCACGGAGTAGAAGAAGTGAAATGATGATCACACAGCCCCTTCAAGCGCCCTACTTTGTGGCATGGCTGCGCCCAGATGGCGGCGCCGGGCGGGAGCTCAGCAGGGGGGCATTGCAAGGGTGTGCCGGATCCCGGTGTTGTCAATACCAGGGCACAGGCTGAAAGAGCGGCCACCTTATGATCATGCGTTGCTCCAGCATGCCCCCTGCCACCCGCCACCCGCCGCAACGGCGGCTTGCCCACTACCTTCTTGGCACATGATGGCGGGCCACATTCATTTATTAATACATACACCCAGTGCATTATTTGTTCCTCTCTGGATCTAATTCCTGCACGCCTGGCTCAGGCTCCCTCTGGCCGACGGCATGCTGGAAGTGCGGGAGGTCCCGGGCAAGGGCCGCGGCGTGTTTGCCACACGGACCATTACAGGTGGCGAGGTGGTGCTGCGGGAGCCACCGCTACTGCTATACCCCCAGCAGAGCACCGCTGCCGCCTTCTGCTCCTTCTGCCTGCGCGCATTCAACTCCCTAGGTGGGCGCTGAAGCGTGGTCCGTGCAGTGCAGCTGTCTGGGCAGCCCAGCGGCAGCGCGGGGCGGCGGCTGGCGGCAGCGGCGGCGGCAGGCTTGCCCCGTGTGCCCCACCACAATGCATGCGCCAGTGCCAGTGCTTCTGTGCCCCCTGCATACCTCCTCTGACCTTGCATGCTGCAGAAGACAGCGCCGCGGCGGTGGTGCCATGCGGCACCTGCGGCCGAGTGGGCTTCTGCAGCTCCGCATGCGCGGCGGCAGCCGCGGCCGATGTGGGCAGCCACTGCGCCGCTGTCTGCGGCCTGCTGGCGGCCTGCAACACCGCAGGACTTAGCGACGAGCAGCAGACGGCACTGCAGTTCCTGGCCCGCTGCTGCGCCCTGCGCCAGGCGGCAGCAGCCGGCGACGCGGCGGCGGCGGCCCGGTGCGCCGCCATTGCAGGCCTGGCCGCGCCGCCGCCGCTGGTGCCGCATCCAGCTGAGCAGCAGAGCGCACCAGGCACGGGCAGCAACAGCAGCACTGATGTGGTTGTGCGGGAGCTGCACGGGCGGCTGAGCCACGCGTTGGCAGCGATAGGCGCGGGCCCGGCGGCGGCGCTGTCGCCGGCGGAAGCGGCAGAGCTGCTGCGCAAGGAGGCCACCAACGGCTACGGAGTCATGGCGCCCTCCGCACCCGACGTGAGCTCCTTTTCAAGAGGGGTTCGTTTCTGACCTGCGCGCAGCGGGCGGCCGCTGGGCTGACCTTGCCCAGGTGTGCACCGGCCCTGCCTCCACCACGTGCTGCCACTCTCTGGCTGCAGGGGGAGCGGCGCATCCGCGGCACCGCTCTCTACGCCCAGGCCTCCCTCATCAACCACGAGTGCCTGCCCAACGTGGCACGCTTCGACCGCTTTGACGCCAGCTCAGCGCCCGCCAGCTCAGCGCCGCACCCCGGCGCCAACACCGCGGTCGAGTTCCGCGCCCTGCACGACATCCCAGCCGGTGCGTGGCTGTAGCCTGCCTGCGGCTTTTTGGTCGGGAGCGGCTGCCACCGGCTGCCGCTCATCGGCAGGCTCCTGCGCCCCTGCGGCGCCAGGATTTGAGCGTGTGGCCCGCGCCTGCTTGGACCAGTCTGCCTGAGCAGATTCCTGCCACCTGCACGGCTGCCTGCAGGCGAGGAGCTGACACAGAGCTACTTCCCGCTGCCCTGGCCGCTGGCCGATCGCCAGCAGCGCTGCCAGGAGGACTATGGCTTCCAGTGCACCTGCCCCCGCTGCAAGGTGCGCGGGCTCCCTGCCTGCCTGCTCTGTGCCTGCCTGCGTGCCGCTGGTGTGCTGTTTGGCGGGCAGAGGGCGGCGCGTCGTGGGCAGCTGCCGGGCCTGGCTGCCGATGTGCCTCTTATGTGCAAGCGTGTGCCTGGCTGCAGGAGGAGGCCACATGGTCTGACAGCGAGTGGGAGGCGGACGGGGACGCCGGAATGGAGGATGCTTTGGCTGCGGAGGGAGCAGCTGACGGCGCCGCTTGCGGGCACCACTCCCACCAGCACGATGCGCCGGGCGGCGGGCCAGCGGCAGCGGAGCAGGAGGGCGGGGCAGACCCGGCCTGCATTAGCCTCTTCCTCCTCAAGTACGTGTGCCCGGCGGAGGGCTGCTACGGCACGCTGGCGCCGCTACCGCCGGGCGCCGGCGCCGGCGACCAGTATGAGTGCAACATGTGCGGGCGGCGGCGCAGCGAGGCGGAGTTTATGGCTGAGCTGGAGGCGGCGCAGTAGGGGCTGCAAGCGGCGGCAGGGCTGGCGCTGGCAGCGGCGGCGAGGCGCAGCGGTGGCGTGGCGCCAGCGGCACTGCGGGTGGGGACATCCCGGGGCTGGCACGTGCTGCTTGCATGTGTGTGCTGGGTGCTGGTGCATTGTGTGCAACGGCTGCGGGCCCTGTAATGCTGCCAGCAGGCGAGCTGTCGCAGCCTGTGGGGGGCGGGCCGCCCGCCGATGAGCGGCCGGGACACACACCAGGTCCCGCTGGCCCGAGGCGGCTGGCCCGGGCAGTGTTTGGCGCCTCCAGTCAGAACACGGGGGTATCTAGCCGGCGTTCAGTCCCTGAGACCTTCACCAGGAAGGCTGCGGCCATGCGGCTGCCGCGCTGCAACGGCTGTCCGCAGGCCTGCATTTATGGTGACCTGCGCAACGCGGGAAGGTTTCACGAGAAAGCAAACTTTCGACCACCGCCAGCTCAGCTGCCTTGTCGGCAGCAGCTCCCGCCAGCCGCCTGTTTTCCGCTCCCTCACGCTGTTTGGTGGACAGCTGCTACCAGCACTTGCGTCCCAACGGCCCGCCACCACCTGTCGTCGGGGCAGAGTCTGTTGGTCCGGGCGCAGTGAAAGAGGCGCGGGGCACGCGACAACAGCAGCATGGACCGGCGCAAGACGCTGGCGGGGCTCAGCCCCGCGCAGCTCAACGCGCGGGTCAGCCTGGCGCCGCGGGGCATGGCGGGCAAGGGCGGCGCCGCCGCCGGCGGCAAGCTGCCCATCGAAAAGGCACTGAGCCGCATGTCGCTGGCGGGGCCCGTGACCCGCCGCTCCTCGGCCTACACCACCAGCAAGGCCACCGGCCTCAAGAGCGACCCGCGGCCCGTCAGCGACAAGGGCTTCCAGCAGGCCTGCATTCGCACCGTCATCGCTTACCTGGCGGCCCACGGCTTTGAGTACGCCATCACGCCCAAGGCGCGCCGTGCCTCCGCCTCTGCCGCTCCACCGCGTGCTTTGCACCACACAAGTCGCGGCAGGCTGGCGGGCGGTGTGCAGGGCGCTGGGCGCAGCCTGCAGCAGCTGGAGGAGGCCGCTGCCGCCTGTCACCTGTCACCTGCCGCCGCCTGCGTTCTCCCTTCCTCCTGCTTGTTTCTGGCGCGTGCAGGTGCTGGCCAGCCCCACCACCAAGGACTTCACCAATGTGATGATGTTCCTGTACCGCCAGTTTGATCCTGTACTGCCAAAGACATTCAAGCTGGAGGAGGAGGTGAGGGGGCTGCCGCCGCCGCCGGCTGCCTGCCTTCCGGCGTTGCCCGGGCTCTGCTGCTGGCTGGCGGCTGGCGGCTGTCGGGGGCTGCTGCCTGCTTCTGCCTGCTGCTGCTGTCTGCGTGGCTGCTGCTTCCGCCAGCGGTGCTGGGCATGCCACATGAACCAGGATGGGGCAGGCAGCCCTTGCGCACATTGGCGGCCTCAGCGCAGCCCCGGCTGGCGGCAAGGGTGCACGCAGAGGCGGCAGTCGAGCCGCCATGTCCCATCGCCTGCCATGCTGCCCCCCCGTGGTGTACCACAACTGTACCGCAGGTACCGCAGCTGTACAAGCGCCTCAGGTACCCCTTCCAGATCAGCAAGAGCAACCTGACGGCGGTGGGGTCCCCACACACATGGCCCTCCCTGCTTGTGGCGCTGACCTGGCTGGTGGAGCTGCTCAACTACCAGCAGCGGGCAGAGGCGGCGCGCCAGGTGCGGCGGCGCCCTGCCAGCGGGGGCATGGGGCGTGCTGGGGTTCGGCACGCATGCGGTGCGACGGCAGGATGACACGAAAAGTCTCAAAGAGCACGGGCAGGCGAGGTCTGCGGCATGAGCGCAGCGTGCACGCTCATGCACCGGATCCCCGAGCCGCTGCGCCTTGTGCCGCCGCCACCGCCCTGCCTGCAGGATGTGGGGGACGAGCGCAGCCGCACTGAGGCCGAGTTCTTCCAGTATGTCAGCCAGGTGAGTGGATGGCAGGTGGAGGCAGCCAGGGTGTGGGTGTGCAGCCTCCCGCTGCTGCCTGGTGTGGCGGAGGCCTCTCACGCCTCCCACGCTCTGGTGGTGAAACGGCGGTCCCACCGGCGCTCCCGCTGGGCCTCACGGTACCGGCGGTGTGCCGCACATGGTACCGCAGGTGTACCGCTACTTCATGACCGGCGACGACGCTAAGTGCGAGGAGGCCGACGGCGAGCAGGCGGGGGAGTTTGAGGCGCGGGCGGCGGGCATCCGCCAAGACACGGAGCGCCTGCAGGCGGTGGGTGGGCGCTGGCGCTGCGGGCTGGCGGCTATGGGCTGCGGCTGCGGGGCCGCGCTTGTGTGGCGCTGGGTGGGGCAAGCGTCCCAGGCGGCCTGAGCTCCGCCTCGGCCGGGGCGGCCCGCTCGCCGCCTTGCCGCCATCGGTGCTCCCGTGCAGCCTCCGCATTCCTGCAACGCCACGCGGCCTGCCTGGCAATACCACCTGCCGGCCGGCTTCCTTCACCTGCCCCACCCCTCCCACCCGCCCGCTCCCGCAGTCCAACGACGCGCTGCGCGCCGAGATTGAGCGCCTGCGGGGCGAGCCCAGCCCGCTGGTGGCGGCGCGGGCGGCGCGCGAGGAGACGCTGGGCGACAAGGAGAAGTTCCTCAAGCTGCTGGACAACCTGCAGGTGGGGGTGTGGTGGTGTCTGTGGTGTGGGGGGCGGTGTGTGGGTGTGCATATGTGTTGTGGTTGTGGTTGTGGTGTGTGTGTGTGCGCGTGTGTGTGGGGGGGGGGTGATGCGTAAGTGTGAGCAGAGAGCGCACAGGGCTGTTGCTGGCTGCATGGGGGTTGGTTGGAGCACTGCCCTGCCCTCGCCCACAGCACCTCATGCATACCACCCAACCACACCCCAACGCGCTCGGCCCCTCCCCCTGCGCTCCCCCCGCCCTGCCCCCAGGCTCACAAGGCCTCGCTGCAGCGCAAGCTGGCCGAGCGGAAGGCTGACGTGGCGGCGCAGCAGGCTGAGCTGGCAGGGGTGGAGCGGGAGAACGAGGGGCTGCAGGGGCGCATCGCGGCGCAGACCATCCACCCGCAGGACGTGATGCGCATGAATCAGGAGAGGTGAGTGGGGCGCGGGTGGATGGGCGGTGGTGGTGGTGAGTGG